ATGATGATGATGATGATGATGATGATGATGATGATGATGATGATGATGAGCTTGTATCGCGTTCAAAGGGCCATGTCGACTTTGTGGCTAGGCCATCCTGCAGGGCGTTCGAAGGTCGACAAAGGCCGGACAATTTTGCATGTTATTTTTGTTCTTATCCTTAATTTTAAAGTCAATATTCACATCATTTCACATATCATGTACAAGAATCCGATTAATATAAGCAAGCTTTGCTTTAGGCCTGTAAAAGCAAGTGACAAGTCACCCTCCATGTGACCTAACATAGATGGCTCACAATTTTATCATCCGATTTGGAAACCTCTCCCTTCCAACAGATCCAACTGAAGAGTCAAAAAGCCTCGCTTGCACCAAGCAGAGAAAAAGCAGAGCCACGCTGGCAGGTCCGCGACTACGTCCAGCAACGCAATGTTGGCGAGGACGCGGCCTCTGAGGAGGACATGGAGAATGCTCTGCAGTGCATGGGCTTCGAGACGGAGGAGAATGAATGAAAAAAGATGTGCAGAAATCCCATGGAAGAAGATGAACCCAAGAGCGATGGCCTCCACCCTAGTTAGCGATGGCCTCCAACCTAATAGCAAGAACGAACGTGCAAGAAATCCCATGGAAGATGCTTTTGAACTTCAAAGTCATCCAATCACGGACGACCGCAAGATGCTGAGGAGCAAATGGGCAAAGCAGTTTTGGAGCTCAGTGGCGGATGGCAGATGCGATTGGCATTGGCCTGTGCTGTGGCGCGCAAGGCAATTATCACATTGGTCGAACCCACGCCTTTGAGAACATGTGGAAAGGAAGAAATGAAGAACAGAAAGTTAAGTGAGTGTCTCTACTACTCCACCTTTCTAACTCTATCTAATTAGCCTCTCTTTTCATTCTATTCTTTTTAGTTGTGCAGGCGAATCTGCTCTTGTTGGACGAGCCAACCAACCACTTGGACGCTGAAGGCGTCAAATGGCTGGTGGACTTTATCAACAAGGTTCTCAGCTGCTCCCAATCCAACCAGCAAATGAAAGTTTAAGAGCAGCATTGGCCAAAGAGGCCTAAACTCCAAGCACGTTTGACAAACAACCTCACAGGAAGAAGGAATGCGCTTTGAGACAAAAACTTGGTGAAACATAGACAACCGTGAGGACTTGTGCTGATGACCAGGGAGCTGCAATGATCGTGTCCCATGATCCAGACTTTCTAGATCTGGTTTGTACAGCCTCTGGGCGGCAAGTGCCAAGGCTACTAGGAGCACAGGGCCACGCTACTAGGGGCTCCTGGCCTTACTACTAGGAGCAAAGGACGCGACTAGGAACAAAGGGCATCGCTACTAGTAACAAGGATGCTACTAGTGTTCATTTGAAAAGAACACGTTTCTTGCTTCGAAGTAACAGCATCTGGGCGGCAAGTCTGCCAAGGCTACAAACCTTTGAGCAGCGACAAAAAAACGTTGACAGTATCGAGAGTAGTTTCTTTTTGGAGGCCATCGCTAGTAGATTGGAGGCCATCGCTAGTAGTTTCGTTTCAAAACAGTTGTAGCTTTCTTTTTTTCCCCTAAGGATGTTGTTCACTTTTCTCCCAATTCTCAAAAAGGCCAGGAAAACATGCCGAGCTTCACTCGATGGCTCTAATTCGTTCGATTCCTGCAGGGAAGTTGGCTTATTATCCGGGCATTTTCTCCGCCTTCAAGGAACGGGCATCGCTACTAGGAGCAAGGACGCTATACTTAGTAGCTCCTGGCCTTACTAGTAGCAAATGACTACCAGTAACAAGGATGCTACTAGGAGCAAAGGGCATCGGTACTAGGAGGAAGAACGCTACTAGGGGCTCCTGGCCTTTCTACTAGGAACAAGGATGCTACTGTTTTCATTTGAAAAGAACACGTTTCTTGCTTCGCAGTAACTGTGCCTGCATAAAGCGGTCTTGTGTCTACCAGTAAGGCTAGGAAAGGGTAGTTAAGTCGAACGAAGAAAAAACATAGAGTGACAAAGAGCATGAGGATGCAATGCATGGGGTAGATGAAGGAATATGAAGGATGCAATATGATGCAATATGATGCAATGAGTGATAAAACCGGCAACAAAAACGCCTTTCCGTGCCCGCGCCATCGGAGCGAAGGCCAACCAGCTGAACGGAGACGATGCAGAGGCGACTCACGGCGACTCCGGACTCAAACAGAGAACTGTTCGACTGTGAGGCCAAGCGCGTTCTGGAGACCGAACAGGAATCGAGTTGGGAACCTCAAGAAGGACAGAATGCCAAAATAGAAAGAGAAACAAAAAAGAAGAGCAACATTAATAAGAAGAGAAACACACAGGAAATCATTATGGCAGTATGTGTGTAGTAGCACTGGGAACCTCAAAGACAGCCAGAAATTGAGCTGAGAAAGCCACACCGAGGCTTGGGTTTGGGCCCAAACGATGGGAACCGCATGGCCTTCCCTATTCCGGCAACCTGCCAGAATATGCTTCAAAAGGTCAACAGATTTGAATGCTTCAATTTAGAGATTGAAAGAAACGATGCACAATAAAGGTCCAAAGAGAAGCAAAGGAGAAATAGAAATAGATAAATAACATGAAAGAAAAGAACAGACACACAAACAACTTCGGCACTTCGGATTGGCTTGCCAGTTAGGAAAGAATTGGTGATACCACCGCAGAGCGCAAGGCCGGTTGTTTTGATTCGAGAGGGCGCATGGGTTGTTCCGCTGCTGCTCGCCTGAAGGCAGCAGTCGTGACTTTAGACAAGGCCTCCTTCCAGTACAAAGGCAAGCCTCTCCTTTCCTTTCCTGATTCTTTTAAAATGCAGAACCTTACAAGAACGGTTTCAGACAATTAAACAAGTCGAACAAACCAACAGAAACACATGTTTCTTACATGAACATTGTTTCTTGTTTGGCTTTAATCAAAGGAAGTTTAGTGTGCAAAACTTCCGTGTTACGGACATTCAACAGCTGTTCAACCACCACTCATCATACACCACTCATCATACACCACTCATCATACACCACTCATCAAACCACC